GTTCGGGGGCTGTTTTGAATTTTCGCCCCCGAAACGTCTTTTTTTGAGTAAGTTTTGGGCGTATTTGGCTCTAACTCCCAACCTACAGGTCCGAATTACATTCCATCAGTTGTCACAAGTCTTATTTTTCATGAGGAAGCTTCTCGTGAGAGCCACATGAAGGTTTGGGGGCTGTTTTGAATTTTCGCCCCCGAAACGCCTTTTTTCGAGTAAGTTTTGGGCATATTCGGCTCTAACTCCCAACCTACGGGTCCGAATTACATTTTGTCAGTTGTCATAAGTCCTATTTGTCATGGAGAAGCTTCCAGTGAGAGCCACACAGTGGTTGTGGGGTTGTTTTGAATCTTTGCCCCGAAACGCCCTTTTTCGAGTAAGTTTTGGCCTTATTCGGCTCTAACTCCCAACCTACAGGTCCGAATTACATTCCATCAGTTGTCACAAGTCTTATTTTTCATGAGGAAGCTTCTCGTGAGAGCCACATGACAGTTCGGGGGCTGTTTTGAATTTTTACCCCCGAAACGCCCTTTTTCGACTAAGTTTTGGGCGCATTTTGGCTTTAACTCCCAACCTACGGGTCTGAATTACATTTCGTCAATTGTCACAAGTCCTATTTGTCATGAGGAAGCTGCCTGTGAGAGCCACATGGCGGTTCAGGGGCTGTTTTGAATTTTTGCCCCCCGAAACGCCCTTTTTCAAGTAAGTTTTGGGCGTATTCGGCTATAAATCCCAACCTACGCGTCCGAATTACATTCCATCAGTTTTCACAAGTCCTATTTTTCATGGGGAAGCTGCCCGTTAGAGTCACACGGTCGTTCAAGGGCTGTTTTGAATTTTTGCCCCTAAAATGCCCCTTTTCGAGTAAGTTTTGGGCGTATTCGGCTCTAATTCCCAACCTATGGGTCCGAATTGCATTCCATCAGTTGTCACAAGTTCTATTTGGTATAGGGAAGCTTCCCATGAGAGCCACATGGCGGTTCAGGGGCAGTTTTGAATTTTTGCCCCCGAAACACCCTTTTTTGAGTAAGTTTTGGGCGTATTTGGCTCTAACTCCCAACCTACGGGTCCGGATTACATTCCTTCAGTTGTCACAAGTCCTATTTGTCATAGGGAAGCTGCTCGTGAGAGCCACACAGTGGTTTGGGGGCTGTTTCAAATTTTTGCCCTCGAAACGCCTTTTTTCGACTGAGTTTAAGGCGTTTTCGGAAAAAAATGATATTTTGTAAAAGTCAAATTTCAATAAAAAAAATTGTAAAAAAAAAAGTCTGTGGAAAATAGAAAATAAAAAAAAATATTAATAAATTTGCATAATTATTTGACCTCACCAAATTTAAAAAGGTGGATTAACTCGACCCCCCATAATTTGGATTTGAGGGCACTGTTTGGGCCTGTGAGGCCCATCACATGTTCTATTTCGAATCCAAACCATACATGTTTAAAGGGGTTGTTGAATTGCTGAGAACTGTGTTTTTGTGACATCAAACAAATCAATTCTAACCTAACCCAACCCAACCCATATTCGATTAATTTTTGTAACTAAACAATTGAGCCATCATTCTGATTAGTACTATTATTACTAGCTAGCTAATACTACAGAAAAACCAGAAACAAGCCCTAGCAAAATTTTCTCAAATGCATTTCTTGAGAATCAAAATGACATTCCCATCAAAAGTCAAATGCATAATAAATCAGTGACATGGCTTAATACTCAAAATCGTAAGCATATATAAGTTACATCAGAGGAACATAGTTTGATTGGTAAATTCAAGCACTATAAGACTTGCAGAATCTATGATTGCTACTTCTCACTGAATGTAATACACTAAGTGACACGAATAAGAAGTACAACCATGATGAATATACATGTCATTACAAATATCAGAAGCCATGTAAAACACGTAGTCTTGAAACTCTTCGAGTATATATCCATAGCACGTACATTGGCACGACCAGTGCTTGCCAAGCTCTGTTCAACCGCCTGCTCTGTTGAATCAAGTATCTGCACTCAAATTACAATTGCGCCATGAGGTTCGCTGACCATGTATTAGAATACATCTAATATGCTAGTTATTAGACATCCTAGTTATAAGAAATCTCTATAATACAAGTATTGTCAACTGTCCAAGCTACTAGGATACATTGCACTGTATACCTCAGGACAACAATCAGAATCAAAGTAAATTAAAACTGTGACATTTTGGGAACTTACTTTTTCAGTGTTTTGTAGGGATAGACTCATCATGAGATTGCTCTCTTTAAGTTGTTGTGCCAACCCAACCATTTCATCTGTCAAATCATCTTGAAGTTTTCTGATCGAGAAAGAAATAAGAGTTAGCAATAATGAAGTATCTGCGGTAATAATTACAAATGATATCTAGGTCAAGTAGAATGCAATCCTAAAAAAGAATGATGAAAGTTCATTTCCCCTAAAAGGAATTAAATTGTGGATAGTCTACATAAAACAAGGATATAGTAAAGGTAGGTTAGGTTACCGACTGTTCAACTGCAATGACGCAATATATATGTAATGTACATAAAATTATATACATCAATAAATAGAAATTATATACATCAATAAATAGAAAGAGACGTGTCTACATCAATCAAGAAACAAATAGGTATTTTCTTGCTCTCACTCTCTTATTATGCTCTAATACTTCAACTTAGTTCAACAATGAGTTAAGATGTGGAAAATACCTGTGCTTGTCAATATGAGTCTGTGCTGCAGCATCCAATTTGACAAGCCCTGAATAATCAGTCACAATACTATCACGAGGTCTATCTTCAATGTTTGATGGAGCGCTGTTTAATAAAAAAATGAAACAAAGTAAGACCAAACACATATCACCAAAAAAGCCATAGTAAAGAAACCGTAGCTCCTTACACAAATCTCCTCCTCAATCCTGGAGAAGTGGGACTAGAACTTTCTCCTACTGCTTTGGAAGGGCTTTCTTTGACAGAAGTAGCAGAAATAGGCTGCAGCGTTTCTGGCAAAACTGACTCTAACTGGAAGTTTTCAAAGAGAAAAGTTAGATGGAAATGAAATACCCATATAAGATGCATGAATTTGTAATTCAAAATCAGAGAAATGGAACAGTTTCATAATGTTGGGGATCTGAACTAAAACCCATGCTCATTCAAGTGTACTTTACTAAAACTTAGAAAAACCTGAATATTATTTGTTTAACATGCAAAATTGCCAATACAGAACAAAGCTAAAGTATACACGCACCACAGGGGCAGCCAATTTGGCAGCAAGGGCTTCAATCTTCTCTGAATAATCATTCACCTGAGCTTTTGAAACTCTATATAAACAGTCACAGGAAAAAAAAAAAAGAAAAAAAAGAAAAAGAAAAAGAGATTCACAATGTTAATAAATTGAGTAACTTAGAACAATTCCTCCACATGAACATCACTAGCGGATCATGTATAGAAAAATATGAAATTATGCACATTATGAGCCTAATATCTATTTATCAAGAAAAATATATTTACACATCAACACTTCGTGAAGTTTAAAAAAAAATGACGACTTAGAATATTCAGGTACCAATATCAATTTTATTATATCTATCAAGATAGCTACAATCTTTGAAGACTAAGATATCCCCTTTTTACAAATATTTTACCCCTTGATCGGATCTGCCTACATTATTATTATTATTATTTTTTTTTTTGTCATTGTATTGATGTCTTTATATTGAATTTTTTTAGATTTCTTCTATGGCTTTAGGCCTCGTTTGGGAACCCTCCTTTTTAGTGAAAAAGTCAAAAAGTTACTAAATTAGCCAAAAAGTCAACAACCCATACCAAAAAGTCAAAGATTCTCTTTTATCTCTACTTTTTGCATAGCTTTTCGTAAAAAGCCAAAAAATCATCCCAAACATACTAGTTTTTTTTGGCTCATATTTTAGCCAAATAGTCAAAAAGTTACTAAATTAGCCTATTCCCAAACGAGGCCTTAGTTTCTTGAAATGGTTCTAGCTTTCAGTTCTTCAAATGAATTACATGTATGATGCTATAAAAGGCCAGCACAATAATCCGAAGGAGCTATATCTACCTAAGAAGGCCTCAAATGAAGAAATCAATACACAATCATTCCTCCTAAAATGGCTTTAGACGACCTTCACCTATTATCTCCAGTGCTTATAATGCATTATTTACAATTTCCCTTCAATCTTAGGCTCTATTTGGTTCATTGAAATGAAAGGGAATGGAATGGAAATGTGCTTCCTTAAATTTTTCTACAGAATGATAATTCTCTTAAAATGGTGTAACATGAACCCATTTATAATGCATTTATCATTATTATTTTAGTCTAACCAACTATGAGAATGAATATTTTGATGGAATAATCATTCTATTCCACTCTATTGCAGTGAACCAAACACTACCATAATACTACACAATTCATGATTGAAATTGCAACATCAAAGATCATCATTTTGAAAAAGATACCACTACTAAAGAAAGGGCCTTTTGAGTCGGCAAATTTTACCGTCGCAAAAGGTAGCCTTTTTGAGACGGCACAGAGTTACCGACTCAAATACCAAACCTTTAGCGTCAGCACTGTTGGTCGACACAAAAAATTAATATTTGATAGCATTATTTGAGTCGGTTGAATTTACCGACGCAAAAGATAGACCTTTTGAGTCGGCATAGACCTTTTGCGTCGGCAAATTTGTGCCGACGCAAAAAATTAGACCTTTTTGTGTCGGCAACTGATGCCGTAGCAAAAAAAAATAATTTATAGCCAAGATATATATATATATATATATATATATTTACTTGATTATATTTAATAAATATATTTATTTATACATATACTTTTATATTAATATTGAGTGTATATACTATAAATAATATATATCTCGTTTAATATCTGAAAGAGGTATGGTGGTGAAGTGGATTTAGTGCGGGGTGACCTCGGGTCAAATTGTCCAAATGGTGTGTGTTCGAAACTTGGGAGCCTCAATGAGAAAATTATGAGTTAAATTTTTTAAAACATTTAACCACTTTTTGAGTCGGCAATCTACCGTCTCAAAAAATTAAAACTTTTTGCGTCGGCAGATTGCCGACTCAAAAACTTTTTGCGACCCCACCATTTTCGTCCCTTGAGTTGCCGTCGAAACGCCGTCGCAAAAAGTTTTTGCGTCGGCAAATACGCTATTTGCGACGGCACGTTGCCGACTCAAAAGCCCTGTTTTCTAGTAGTGTACACAAAGAAAAACTTTTTGAATTTACCAGGAGAGTGAAACATCAGGTCCCTCTAGAAGGATATGTAAAAAGCAATTCAAAATGTTCACAACAATTATATGACAGACATGACAGTGTGCACTATGCAGCGCCTCTCTAATAATCCAATAGTATAAAGAAAAAAAAATAAAACTTTGAAAGAAAAGAGCACTGACCTTGGTAATCCATCTGAGGTTCTCTCTTCAGCTAGTTGTTCTAATTGTTCTCTTAGTGTAGCAACATACTGGAATGATGCAAATATATAATAAGTATGGCATGAATTCATAAACAAAAAAACAACAAACCAAATTCTTTTGCTAGATCAATAACAAAATATCTATATATATATATAACAGTCAATGCACAATGCTAATCAATTAAGGCATTTTAACATGCTTTAAAACCATTTAAAAAATAATATTAACATAAACATCCCCCAAGAAGGGAGAGTTGTAACTAAGTAAAAATCTATATATACATAAACATGTGCGCACATATATAGAGAAGATAGAGCACACAAACCATTCCCAAATCAACAGTTTGAGTTGAAAGATCCGTAGACATACATGTATAGGCTTTGCTTGATTTTGTTGATGAGATGCAGCAGCAAGCAACCTCCTCAAGTTTAGTTCTGTTTTACTGATCCCCATTTTCAAAATTCTAAAACATTGGATTAAAGCTCATATCACTATTGACAGCCAAATGGCACCCAAGTAGTTGATCTCTATCATATATGTTTAAAGGGCTTGTTTTTCTTAATGGTTGTTTAATTGTAGATGCACAGAAAACACAATGTTCAAAGCGTTGTTCTTGGAAAAGATACGTTTGTGGTGACTGTGTATCCAAACGTGGACTACGCCTTCATAGTTGCTTTTGTGGTCGTTCTTGAAGAGATCAATGAGGACAGAGAAGATTGAAATCACCTCAAGTGAAGTAACTCCTGTTTACATTACTAGAATCATTCCTGTTTACATTACTAGAATCACTAAATGTGGTTTACTAATGTGCCACTCATTATGATGATTCCTAGAATTTCTGGAGTGCTTACATAAATAAAAGTGACAATATTTTGTGTGTGAACATGTTTTGATCTGCACATACTCATTGCTCAAATGCAATTTAGTTTGAGATTATTTTGAAATGATTCCTTCAACTCTTAGTACTTACGGATGATTTTTTGAGCATTGGAGATTCTTAGTACTAAAAAGATGATTTGAATGTTAATAAGAACCTACTCAATCTAATAGAATTCCAAACAAATTTAAAATTACTATTAAAAGAATATGTGCATAGATAATGCACCAACAGCATCCAATCATGAGAAGAATTGTATATCAATCAATAAAAATCCTGAAATGTATTGGTAAAATATGCAACTACTAATCCATAAGGGGAATATTACATTCAATGATAACCCAAAAGCACCATTACTAGAAGTATAACATAAGAAGAAACGAAGAATTAGAAACATAAACAGATTTCAATAAATAAATAATTGCAATCTCGTATCAGTTACATGAGTACAAAATTCAATTGCCCACACATCAGATTTCACAAACTCAACCAAAATTTCAAGATATATATCTATATATATGGAGTCAAAACAACTACCAAATCAAACAAACATTACAAACAAAAGCTATTCATATCATCTTTTCCTATATTTAGAATCCAACCACTCCAAGTGAGTTCACAAATGTAAAAGGAGCATTTTGAACAATGGGAAACAAGAATCGATACAGGAAATAGGGGTTAACAAAAGGGGATTTCGAAGAATGGAATCAAAACAGCTACCAAAGAAAACAAACATAAAAAACCTAAACCTAATATTTTCCTAATTTTATAAACCAACTCAGTGAGTTCACAAACGTGAAAGTGGCAGTTTCAAAGAAGAGGATTGTAGTCCAGGGTTTCATAGAATGGAGATGGAGAAAGGGGGAGAGAAAAAAGTTGCGGAGAGAGAGAGAGACATACCTTGAGGCAAAGTCGAGGATAGGTCGTGTTCGCGGGGATGGTCTTCGAAGGATGGTCTTTGAGGGCGAAGAAGAGTGTCGGAGTGGTGTCTCAAAAACAGAGGGGGCTTTCGAAAAACAAAGTGAAGAGCTCAGCTGGAAAGAGAACAATCAGTGAAGAAATTTGTAAAAATGGTAGCTGGTTGAAGAGGTACTCACGATTTCTAATCAATTTATTCAGTGGTTGAGATTAATTTGTAAAAATCTAATGACTTAAAATAAATGTATATATAATGTGCACATCTTATTGAGGTGCACATCTTAACAGCTCCCATTAATTATAGAACATGCATAGTTGCTTATAAAACATAACCCTTATTTATTGTATTTTATTTTATTATTTTAAATGTTCCAAACAAGCGCTATAATCAAATTTTTTAAATTTACAACAACTTCAGAAAATTTGAGGACAATGAGACAAAACGCTAATTTTGCTAGATCTAAAAATATTATTGCAAATGTAGGGATTTCAGGGTTTATAAGGTTATTTTATTTCAATTTATATCAAAAGAAATTTTTTTAATTCTTTTAAAGATGAATTACACTAACAGTCCCTATAATTTAGGGTTCATATCACTTTGGTTCTTAACTTTTCAATTGTGACACATTTAATCTTAAATTTTGAATCTTGTTCTAAATAAGGACAAATAAAAATATTATTGCTTAATTTCAATAGCAAAATCATCAATTTGATAAAATATAAACTAATTTGATAAAAGTAAATGTCAAAAAAATATTTTTAAATTTTTAAAAATTATTTCTATCCACAAAAGATAAAATTATGTAACATTGATAAATCTTCTAAACATTTATTTATTTATTTATTTGACCAAATTAATTTTTGTTATGTGTTTGGATAATAGTTATGTAATTTGTGGTTGTTAGAATTCAATGTGTAATATATATTTAATATATGAAATGTTTTTAGTTTTGGATTTTTTAATTTAATGAATTGGTTTAATAATGATATCGAAGTTATCACTATATTTGACTTTTGAAAAAATTGAAACTAATTTAATGAAAATAAAAACAACCACTCATTACATGATCATCATTCAAACACATAATAAAAATTAATTTGATAAAATAAATATATAAATAAATGTCTAAAAGATATATCAATTTTACATAATTTTATTTTTACTGTGTAGAAATAATTTTTAAAAATTAAAAAATATTTTTGATATTTATTTTTGTCAAATTAATTTATTTTTTATTAAATTGACAATTTTGTCCTTAAAATTAAGTAATTGTATCTTCAATTGTCCTTATGTAGAATATGATTCAAAATTCATGATCAAATATGTCATAATTGAAAAGTCAAATATCAAACTGACACAAGGCTTAAACTATAAGGACCGTTAGTATAATTTGCCCTCCTTTTAAAATTGTAAATTGAAGGGAACAAACTTTTCTCCTAGAGCCCTAACAAAAGCATGTAAAGGAACTTATCGTTAATAGGGCTGAGAGTTCACATGCAAAATTGAAGAGCCAACTTGGGTCAAACGAAGACAGTTTCGAGTCGTCATGGACAAAGATACATAATTTGATTCAGTTGCAGCACACAGACATTAAGTTATCATTTGAGAAGAGTTTGACATTTGTGCAACACAACTTCGAACCTTCTGAGTTCATGGAGCTGCGGGGTAATATTTCAACAAGTGCTTTGGATAGGATCCTAGCCGAGACAAAGAGAGCTAATTATGTTGGTTATGATGTTTCTGCATGTGGGTGCATCCTCCGACGTACATATGGTTTACCATGTGCTCATGAGATTGCAAATTACATTAGGCATTATGAGGGTCAAAAATTACCGGGGGGGGGGGCTCCCAAGTATTATTGAAATAATAAATAGTTAAAAGTAGTTTTTTGAGAATTGATATTTATGTTCACCTATTTTACTCATGTTATAAATTTTCTTTTATTTTATTAAATAACAGTAGAATTGATTTTTTTTTTACTACTTCCTAAATTATATCAGGACTCATTTGAGAATTGATTTTTTAATAATTTTTTTAAAATTTTACAAAAAAAAAATGTAAAAGACTAAATAAATAAAAAGAATAATTTAATTTTTTACCTAAAAATCTTAATTCCCAAACAAGAAATAAAATAACACATGTTTTTTTTTGTTCTCTCTCCTATCTTATTATTATTTTATTTTATTTTGTATCCTTATTGATCAAACGGACGGTTATCCAAAGTTCCAAACAGGTGATGATTAGGGTTTTTTTCTCAAATCACCCAATACAAAGAGACTCGTGCCGATCCCTCTCATCTCCTTCGTCTCTCTACACCCCCAATCGCAGTTGTACCTGGAGCTCCCTTGTTTAACGCTCTCTCTCACCCTGCCCTGACGCCATTAGAGAGACCTTGTCTCTGACTCTCACTCTGTTTCTCTCTCGTTGCCCAACCCATTACAGGTATAGAATTGTTTGATTCTCTACCCAATTGTTGTTTCTTTGTAATGTGTTTTCTTTTCTCTATTGATTACTCTGTTTCTGATGTTTCATTATCTTCTGTATTTACAGTGTTGTTTTTCTCTTTCATTGTGGAACAGTCTTTTTTAGCTTCAACCTTGTTCGTGTTATCTATCTTTTTTATCTTCTACAAGGTTTGATCAAGCAGAATGGATGTTTTGCTATATTGGATTGTCCATAAATTTGTATATTTGTATATGCCCATTTTGAATTTTTAGTAAGATTGCCAATTTAGATACTAGTTTGCAGTTGTTGAACAAGTTGTTGTTTCTGCTTGTGCTTATGCTTCATTGTTTATCTCTCTCTCTCTCTCTCTCTCTCTCTCTCTCTCTCAGTGTATCAGTGCTTTAGTCAAATAGGATTGGAATTTTTAAAATGTATGTACCATACACTATCTTGAACTATTTGAAAGCCTTTTCATGTCAAAATAAATAAGTTAAGAACAGTCTTTAGTTTCAACCATGTTCTTGTTATCTATTGTTATCTTCTACATAATTTGATCATAGTTGTCAAATCAGGATTCGAATTATGAATCGAAATGGTCTTGTACCAAATTGCGAATCGAATCAAATTATGAATCGTAAAGATTCGGTCACTTTTTCTAAATTACATAGAAAATTATACCTTTACACTTAGATATTAAATATAGCTAATAAATATGAAATATTTAGAGTTAAATCGATGAAATGTTATTTTGAATAATAATCGTGTGGTCTAATAGGTTTAACATGGGTTCCCATATGCACCACCTTACCTTTTCTTTGTTAGATACTATTCCTTATCAACCATTCTTAACAAAGAAAGCGAAAAAAGACAAACTCTCACTTTTCAAGTAACAATAACTCAACAACAATGTTTTTAACTTTTACAAGGTTAATAAATCAAAATCTCCGAACATTTTCAAAAATCTCACTTAATGCTTTTAAAAAATATCTTTTATAAATGCAAGCACTTAGATAAAATTGAATATGTAAACCTAAAATATTGCAAAGAGAACGTTCATTTTTTTTTTTAAAAGATAGAATATAGTAATTCTAAATGATTCACCAATTTGGTTAAACGATTCACAGCTATTTGTGATTCACACAACCTATTCATATCAATTACCCATTGAATCGAATCGAATCAAATCATACGATTCGAATAATGAATCGTACAATTCTAAAAACAGATAATTTGATTAAACAGAATGGATAGTTTGCTATTTTGGGTTGTTTATAAATTTATAGATTTGTAGCCTCTTAGAGAAGACACATCTACTTTCCTTTGTATGCCCATTTTGAATTGCTATGTTGCTTAATAACTTAATTAGAGAATTGAACAAGATTTTCAATTTAGATTTTAGTTTGTAGCTGTGAAGACTTGAAAATATAGAGTTGATAATTGATTTAGATGTGTGTATTCTTTTTTCCTCACAAGTGCAGCATCTTTAGGCTAGGAAAATTATTTTTATCTTTGATTAATTGATTTTAACAAGTGAGCAGATAGAGGTTATATGATTACTTCTGAGATGATGGACCTTTTTTTATGGGTGTCTCCTTCTCTTTCCTTGACATTGGTCTTAGCATTTCCTTTTGGGATTGAATTGAAGACACTGATTAGTTGTATGTTCTGGGTTGTGTTGTGTTGTATTGTTCGAGCCATAGGAAATATATCACTAAGAGCCATTGGGTTGGTGCTTTATTTTTATTTTTTTTTCCTTTTATGCGTAAGGCTTATGTTCAATTTGCCCCATGTTCCGTGTTCCCTGCTTTATTTTGATTTACGTTGTCAATTTCTTTCATGCATTGAAACATGTTAGTTTGACATTTTTCTTTCAGATGCTTCTATTCCTATTTTCTCAATACACCCACCAAATTAAGACTTTCTTAAAACCTAAGTTCTACCCTAAGCAAAAGTAATGTTATGGACAAAAATTATCAGACAGTTTTAATAGAATTTCTCTGTACACCCACCCAGCATTCCAATGAAACACTACATGTCTTCTCACTCTGCTCTCATACATTAACACACTAACAGAAAGCTACGTCCACCTAGGTGATGCGTCACACCAATTGACGGATTATCAAAGGAAGATTGAGCAAAGGATAAGCAAATTGTTGTCAAGGAGCAGTGTATTACCAAAATGGTGAGTGTTTTTTAATGTTTCAGTGTTTCATAGAGTGTAGGGCTTTTTTTTAAATTTTTAAATTTTTTGTTCGAGCTTTGTTTGGTTGTCCAAGGCCAAACAAAAAAGAAATTTCTGGCTATGTATGAAAGAACGAAATTAGTATGTTTTGTTGTATGTAGCCAAATGTTGGTGATATGTTTGACACTAATTGGCCAAGCATTTGTGATATTTCATCGTTGATTGGCCGAAGGATCTCAATGTGCTTAATTTCACATGCATGCCTTATTGCAGGATGATGCATCTACTCAATGCGACATTGTGTGCTCTGAAAATGTAATGGATTATACTCATGAATTTACTACTGAAGAGGTTAGATAGTTTGTATTTCAATTGTTGTTCACTTTAATGTGTTTTATGAGGGGTTTTTTTTTTTTTTAACTAACTTTAATTGTTTTGTGTAGATATTCAAAAGTCGAGAAGCCTTAATCAAATGGGCTCAAGAGGTTGGAAAGATAAATGGGTTTGTTATTGTGATCAAGACATCAGATGCGGGTGGTCAAGGTAAGAAACCCAGAATTGTCCTTGCATGTGAGAGGAGTGGTTATTATAGAGACACAAGGAAGAACAAGGAAAAAAAAATGAAGGTAGGCACAAAAAAGTGTGGATGCCCTTTTGCATTAAAGGGTAAGAAGTTGTCCACAGATGATGATTGGATGTTGAATGTAGTGTGTGGAGCCCACAATCATTTGGCTAGCGAGCATCTCGAGGGGCACTCATATGCAGGGAGATTATCAAAGGAGGAAACTTCGTTGGTAGTCGATATGTCCAAGAGTATGGTGCGACCGAAAGAGATTTTGGTTACATTAAAACAAAGAGATGCCCTTAATGTAACCACAATGAAGACAATTTACAATGCACGTCATAGGCATAAAGTTATAGAGAAGACTGCTGGGAGATCACAAATACAACAACTTTTGGCACAGTTATTGGTTCATAAGTACACTAAGTGGCATAGGTGTGATGATACAGATACCATCACTGATTTGTTATGGGCACATCCTGTTAGCTTGGACTTATTGCGTGCATTTCCACATGTGTTGATTATGGATTGCACATATAAGACCAATCGTCTTCCCCTCTTAGAGATTGTAGGAGTGACATCTACTGACATGACTTTTTCAGTAGCTTTCGCATACCTTGGGTGTGAGAGGGAAGATAACTACATATGGGTATTAAATATATTGCGTAGTATTATGGATGAGAGTGCCCTTCCTGAAGTTTTTGTTACAGATAAAGAGTTGGATTTGATGAAAGCCATTGATAGGGTGTTTCCCACAGCTAGACATCTGTTATGTAGATGGCACATTAGTAGGAATGTGATGGCTAAGTGCAAGAAAGTGTTTGAAACCAAGGAGAAATGGGATAAGTTCATAATGAGTTGGAACATTTTGGTTTTGTCCACCACTGAAGAGGAGTACCATCAGCAATTTTTAGCAATGAATAAGGAGTTCAGTACCTATCCGGAGGCGCTTGAGTATGTGACAACTATTTGGTTGGACACATACAAGGACCGATTTGTAGCGGCTTGGATAGATACATGTATGCATTTCGGAAATATGACTACAAGCAGGTAACTTTGAGTCATTGACTTTCTAGCATTACTTAATTATCAATGGGTAACTTATTTTGTTTAAAATTTTGTTCATTTTAATAGGGCTGAGAGTTCACATGCAAAATTGAAGAGCCAACTTGGGTCAAACGAAGACAGTTTCGAGTCGTCATGGACAAAGATACATAATTTGATTCAGTTGCAGCACACAGACATTAAGTTATCATTTGAGAAGAGTTTGACATTTGTGCAACACAACTTCGAACCTTCTGAGTTCATGGAGCTGCGGGGTAATATTTCAACAAGTGCTTTGGATAGGATCCTAGCCGAGACAAAGAGAGCTAATTATGTTGGTTATGATGTTTCTGCATGTGGGTGCATCCTCCGACGTACATATGGTTTACCATGTGCTCATGAGATTGCAAATTACATGAGGGAGGGTCGGTCCATTCCCCTCTCGTGCATAGATCCTCATTGGAGGAAACTAGATATGGAGTTTGTACCTAAAGTGACACCATGGAGTTAGATTGCAAACTAGAGTTAGATTTGATTGACTAGTGGTTCAATGAGTATGATTTGAGAAGAAAAAAAAAGGTACATATTCTTAAGAAAATTGAGGGAGTTAGTCCCGACAGTATGTAGTTTTGTTAGCAAGATACAATTTTTATGTTCTTTTTGGGCTCAGTTTTGTTGTCAAAGAAGTTTTAATGTGTAATGGAAATGGTTGCTGTAGTTCTGTTTGGCATTTATGGACTGAACATGTCATCTGTTTGGTAGGTGTAGTGAGAAAGTGGATGTAGAAAAAGAAGGGGTGTAAATAGGATAGAGGAGCATCCTTTTGTTTCCTGGTTTACCTATGCAAGTGGAATTGCTACATAATTGATGCAAAAGAATAGTACTATATGCACCAATTAGTACACTAACTAGTGTACCAATTGATGATGTGATATAATTTAAGAAGGTTTTGATATTTGTAATTTGTATAATAAGTGAGGTCAATAATAACGTTATAATTAGTGTTGGTGCATTAGTTAGGACACTAATTAGTGCATGTAATACCACCGGATGCAAAATTAATTCCGAGTGACACTAAGCAATTGATACACATGTATATAATTTCTGCAATAGATGATGGAAAATTTCATCGTAGATTATTGCTCGGTTTTGGTCAGTTTCAAGAACATATTTACACATCCTTCTTCTCTATTTGAGATTGCAGGAACTTGGTGATAACTGCTGTAGCTGCAAGTTTTTGGCATTCAATAGATCATCCTTTTTGTAATAATAATGTTAGTAATCTGAACATGCCAGGAGTTTTTAAACTGGAACTGTAAATTAGGGCAATGGAATAAGAGTAGAAGTGTTCTTAAGAAGGTTTTTTGACAACAAAAGTTTGGACAGTTCTTTTATAGCTTATGGTTTGAACAAAATTCTTTACCCATGCTTGTAGATTCTTGCTAAAGCTTTTAGCTATGAAAGGGTCTTTCTTCAATAATCTGACTTGAAAAAAAAAACAGGTAAATTACATTTTGTCCTCTTATGTTTCATAGTGTTCGTTTTTTTCTTTTCTTTTTTTTATTTTATTTTGGCCTTTAAATTATGTTTTTTCCTACTTTAGCCCCGACATTTGTAATTTTTTTCCAATTTACTTCCAAAAAATGAGTATTGGAGGTGTGGCGGCGGTCAAGGATGGAACTTGGTGGTAACTACATTTTTTTTTTTTTTTTTGTAAAATAGAGCTTTGAAAAGAGTTTGATTATAAAGTATTAAAAAAAGTTTTTGAATTGAGTTTTGAGTTATATATTTGGTTATGAGTTTTGAAAATAAATTTTGAATTGTATATTTGATTATAAGTTTTGAAAAGAGTTTTGAATTGTTTTGACTGGAATTACGATTCCAAAACTAAACCAAATAGTTGCACTTCCAAACATACTTTCGCAAAAATATATATAAAAAATAAAATAAAATAAAAAATTAAAGAACAAAATAATATAAAAAAAAATTGATTTTTTTTTTAAATAGAGTTTTGAAAAGAGTTTGCTTATGAATTTTGAAAATATTTTTAAATTGTGTGTTTGGTTATGAATTTTGAAAAAAAGTTTTAAATTTTTTTGATTGGAATTACAATTTCAAAACTAAACCAAACACTTGCAGTCCCAAACATACTTTCGTACCTCATAGTGATAATCCTAAATCCTTCCTTGGCAGCAGTGGTGGTGGTAGCAACAATGAAGGTGTGGTTGTGGGGTGACGGTGATAGTGAAGAACACCTCTCTCGTTTGTGAATTGTAACAGTAAAAACAATCCCCTGGTGAAGTCAGTATGAATCTTGTAGATTCATTGATCACTCTCAAATCATTAAGAAAACACTTATAAAACACCTTTCAATATATCACACTTTAGTTTTTCTTTCTCTCTAAAAGTCTGGACGGGTTGAACCTTAAAACAGCGAACGGCGCACTGTATAGAAAATAGGATCGCGAATATTGCTCAAGTGCATACTTTACCGCTTAAGCGGTATGAGCAAAAGCGGTGCAAAACATATAAACTGACCACTCGAGCATAATCTTCACTAATTGAGCAGCAAAACTTGCTTTTCAGAAGTTCAGTTTGTAGGCAGTGATACTGAATGCTTCGATTCACTGCTCGAGCGCATAAATGACTGCTCGAGTGGTCAAACAATTATCCCCATACATAATCAGTGAAGTGACAAATATGAAAGTCTCAAAATCACAAACTCCTCTATATAGGTATAATTCGAGTTGGAGTTGTATCTAAACACTCACATCCTCATTAAAACAAAAGAGCGAACAAAATTACAATTAAAAAAAAAATTGTCAAAATAGGATTTTCAGTTACAAAAATCTAATAATATTTTAATAGTTAAAGTGGCTAACATCACCTCATTATGTTAGACATTTTAATATGGAGAAAGATTACCCTCGGTTCATAATTTGAATTGGAGGACATTGTTTGGATTTATGGGACTTAGGGATGTAAAAAAAATTAAAAAAATTGATCAAACCAATTGAACCAGATTAAATCGGTTATATTTGATCTATTTTTTAACAACAATTGGTTTGTGCGGCTTTTAAATTTAATTTTTTTCGATTTTCAGTTTGGTATCGGTTCAAATACTTTGTATATCGAATTAAACCAAAACTGACCGCTTCAACATATATTATATTTATAATATATATATATATATATAATCTAACAATATAATGATATTAATAAATATAATAAATTATTAACCTTAATTAATTATCCTTATCATCTTTATAATCTAAGTTTGTAAACTTTTATTATATATAATCTTAACTCTAACTTATTACTCTTGAAATCTTAGTATTTTTTAACTTTTTTTTTTGTTAATTTAGAAATTGAAAAGTATTTATTAAATGGATGGATTGGATATATTTGAAATGGTGGACAAATAACTAATTTAATATTTTTGTATAGATTAGTAATAATATTTAAAAGCAACTCAAATTTAAAAGGTTTTAAACTGATTAAATCGCACCGAACTATTTCAATTAGTTTGGTTCGGTACGATTTAATGGGAGAAGCAGTCTGTATCAGTGTTCAAAGTAATAAAACTAACATTATCAATTCGATGAAATTTTTTACCTAAATACCCATCTTACTGAACCGATTACATCTCTAATGGGACCTACAACATATTTCGTTTTGATGATCCAAATTATTTATTTTATCAGACACTTCGTGTATTTCATTAATACGAAAAAATTAGATCGATTCGATAATTATAACCGATTCAATTTATTGCGTATGGCATAAGAAAATGAATGATTTATTTTAAAAAATATAATTATTGTTCATTTTTTTGTAACAAATATAATAAATTAAATATGTTATGACTGTGAAATCAATCAATTTTTTTTATTATTATTGAAATACACAAATTGCTCAACAAAATAAACGATTTGAATTGTCGAAATAAAAATCATGGTGGACTCTATGAGTTCAACCAATACCCTCTAGTTCAAATTATGAACAGGAGGAATCCTCATAATTCTAATATATAGATAGAAAAATTATTTGTTGGTTCAAGGATACCATATGGCTATGCCCCTAGCCATCACAGATTATCATGTCTCATTTATGTTTCTCAATCATCTAATAAAAAATTGTGAGCCCCAACTATTCTACCAATCATAACATGTCTGGAATACCAAGTGATCGTATCATAGGACCACCAAATAACTTCTCCGCATAGAAGATAGGAGGTATAATATTGGCAACAGATGTAAAAGAGAGTGAGTGTAATTATTAACACTATAGGGAAAATTTCTGCAATTATAATTTAGGAAAAGTAAGTGTAATTTATCTCGCTTCTAAAGTTTGATGGCATAACTCAAAGGTTGGCCAATATAAAGGGAAAAAAAGGTAAAAAAGAAAAAATCCTAAGCCTTCAAAAGAGAAGGGACAAATTATAGTTCACTTCTCTTGAGGTTCTTAATAATTACACTGGCCTTGCTTATTTTTTTAAAAAATTTATGCTGATCTCTTTTGTGACTAACGATGTTAATGAAATGATTAGTTAATAAATTTAACATTAGAGATATTGTTATTAATAATCATTAAATGTGATATTATGATGTTTGATTATACCTTTTATGATGTTTGATTATAACTATTTTTTTTTTTTTTGATTATGATTGAAAAAAATTTAGTTATAACATTTGTGATGGTCAACAACGCAAATGTTATAATTTGTATATAATATACATAGAGGGTGTTTGAAAAGAGAGTTGAACTAAAAATAGCGCACTAAAAGATAAAAATGGATTAAAATAGTCAATATGTTATATTTAACTCATAATCATTTCGGTTAAAAAAAAAACACTCATAATCATTTCACTTTTTCTCTCATAACTATCAAATCAGTTAAAAAAATCCAACTAATTTTTCAAATGCAACTATTTTGGTCAGGCTAAAATAGTCAAAAAGTTAAATAGTTAACTAAAATAACCAACTTTCCAAACAATGCCATAAAATGATTTGTATTCTAGAATAACTTAGGAAAAAAAAAAGATAATTAAATAAATTAAAAAATCAATTACATAGGCCTCGTTTGGGAATAGGCTAATTTAGTAACTTTTTAGCTATTTGGCTAAAAAGGTAGGTAAAAAAAACTTGTATGTTTGGGATGACTTTTTGGCTAATTACGAAAAGATGTGCAAAAAGTAGAGAGAAAAGAGAATCTTTGACTTTTTGGTATGAGTTGTTGGCTTTTTGGCTAATTTAGTAACTTTTTGGCTAATTGGCTAAAAAAGTAAGTCCCTAAACGGGGCCATAAATATAAGATAAGCTATTTGGTAGTGTTTAATCAATACTTAACATTATACAGTTCAAAATTTTTTTTTTTTCTAAAAAATAAGATAAAATTGATAAGTCTCATTGTCTAAGCTAATAAAAATCAAATTAAGTTACCACATGTATTTAGTATTAAATAATATTTCTATATACTCACATCGTTTGCATATATATAATTTATTACTTCACAAGTATAAAAGTTCTTCTCATTTAATAATTCATATTAATTTGTTTACTTAAAAAATAATTAATTGATTTCTTGTATTCTTAATTTATAGATAATCACTTCAAATGTTATACAAATCAAATTAAAATTTGGAGATTTTTTAAGGGTCCTCGGTATTAAGATTTTATAGCATAAAGAATATTCAATATTTTCATAATGTCTAAGGTTTCTCAACATTGATTCAGAGAAAATTCGATCTATAATATTTCTCTGGACTGCCCAAAGA